CGCATTTCATTTGACCGCTTTTGTAGCTGGGTATTTCCTTACTGGCATGGTCTTTCATAAGACACCTGATGTCAAAGCACTACAAAGAACACTATCCTATGAGACAGGTTCCTCCTTGGCCTTATCAGTACATAATTCTATAGGAATTTATGAAACTAACAAATTTTTCACTTTTGCAGGAATGCAAAGCAGTCTTCTGGCCCTTGCCCTTGCAAACAGATTTTTCCAAGATCCACTTGTTGGAGTGCCTCCGGCCATCTCTGTGAGTCAATGTCTTGGCTTAAAAACCTTTGTTTTTTTCTTTTCACTAATTCATTATTGGCTAAGATGACTTGGAACTCTTCTACAGTTTGGAGAGATCATTGTTTCAAATTTACATATTGCTTTGTTCCAAGCAATACGCACACATTTTGTCTTTCACCCTGCTAATGTCTTTCAATATGCACACATATTGACCCCAAAAAGATAAGGTTACTTTGTGTTTTGTTGCACCGGGTGTATTATTTACATGTTCACTGTTTTTAACTGTGATCTGCAGACTGTAATCATGTCTTTGATGGGCTTCTCTCTTGTTATGGTTTGGGCCAAAAGGAAAGAATAACTAGACAAAATAGATCTCAAATTCTTTGAAGTTGGCTCAGTGGTTCTTGATGGCTTGCATATTAATGAAGTGCACTCAAGCATGATTGAAGAGTATTTTTGTTTTTCTTTAGTGTTTTTTTAATAATTGTACACTTTTAATTTCTAGTGCTAAGATTTGTGTATCAACTCATTTTGTAATTTGTATATTATGCCTAAGGCAGTAATTATGGAAAATATTCATAAATTTTGCAATCATTTAAATTAAAGATTAACATCCCCATTGTTGTTTTTGTAGATCCTTTTCTTTTGTTTATGTGGAAGCTCATATAGGCGTATATACAACAACTTTATATATGAGAGAAAAAAAAAATTACAGATCTGAAGCGGATAACTGAGTCGAATCGGAGAGCGAGCGTGAATCTGAAGGTGTAGGCAGACGAATTAATTAACCGATTGACACAAGGGCGTATTAGCCTAATTGTATAAGGTTTTCTTTTTAATAAATAAAAAA